GATTTTGTGTTGCATTTTGGGTCTCGACATAACCTTTTATATCGTGGCTCTGTTTGTACACTAAGGGTCATTGTCTGACTTGATCTGCCTGAGTTTTGCAGTTGCTGCATCTTGTTTCCAATAACTCAGACCCATAACATTCAACCCAACTCCCTTCCCAATTATTGGCCAAGTGCTAAATGGCTAATGGCTAATTTTAACCCACCTAAATGTGGATAGAGTTGCCATGGACACCTCTTTGCTGCTACCCTAATTAAAATCCCCTTCCACACCCCCAACAAGCTTGATTCGTTTCCATTTTTAGTTGATGGATTGAAGACAGCTCAGTGAGCTCTTGGCATCATGTTAAACCTTACCCTGATATAAACGTCTGCACAAGTTTTGCCAAACTGTTTCTGCTGTGTTTCTTGACCTTTATGATGCTGTTTGTTCACTTGTGTTCTCTATTAAGATTCTGAGGCCACAGAATCGTATTAAGTTATACTGAGATTAGCCCTTTATAGGGGAAGTTACTGTTCTTGATCACCTTTATACCCCTTACAAATGTATCTTAAAATAAGATAATTAGATAATATGCTCTTGAAATAACACAATCCAATTATTGTTTTCTTATTTTAAATCTAAATGATCTTGCTCCATTGGCAAATTGTCTCTTTTATTTTACTCAATTCAAGAACAAATGCACTTATTTAAATAAGACAAAATGACTTATCTAAATTTAGGATTTTTTCCAGTGTACTGTAAATTCAGTTGGAAAAAAAAGTTAAGTCAAGAAAAAAAGGTAAAAGACTAATTGAAAAGTTAAAAAGTTAATTAGCATAGTTAACAATATTATTTAGATTTATAAACTAAAAAATGTTAGTGCCAGTATCAGGATTAATCCCTCTAAGGTTATGTTGGACCCCAAAAAAAAAGTGTTTCTTTCACCCTCTGGAGTGTTTTTCTAGGAATTTCTTATAGAAGCACTTTTGTTATTTTTCCTAATATATTCTTGCAATTTCTTGTTATTATACTGACATAAATTTTTGCCATCAAAATATCCATATTTTTTTAATGTTACAAAGGTAATAAGATCTTGTCCTGGATTCCAACAACACTATTGGCTGGAGATGTTGATTTTCTAAGTATTTCACAGAGTGCCCTATAAAGGGATAAATCAAATACAGCTGCACTCTTTTTAACGATAAATTGACTTCGGAAGGCATTTGTTGGACTGGATTTTATCTAAGAGTAGCAGAGTAAAACAAACTGAAGACAATTTGTACCACACCTGTTGTAGCCTATTATAGTTATTTATCCATTTGTGTTGCTCTATCATTCGCAATCCCAAAAACTACCTGAATTGGTGTTTATAGCATGCCTAAGTTCATATTTCTGCAAGGCACTGTGCATATCACAGAAGTGGATAGGATACCTCTTTAGGTGTATCTATTCAGCTTATGCTGAAATCTTTCCATTGTGCTCACTTTTCAACTCTGCTCAGAGCTAAGACATCACATTCACTAAACAGCTAGAGAAAAATGGGACATTACTTTCTCAGCATGAGCCTCTGTTTGCATTTAAAAACATGTTGTTTTTTTTGTTTTGTTTTTTTTCACTCCAAAGTTACTTCAACTCTCCTTTACCTTTTTTCTTTTATTTTTTATGTTTTCCCCCTTCAGCTAACACAAAATGCATATAAATATGTGAAATGCTGTGTCGTATTTCTCAGTTTTCCCACGTTTTGATTCTTTTTTTCGCATCTCTATGACTTTTTTCACGCCTATTCTCCCAACTCTGTTTGTTCGTGCTCATTTTCCGAGTAAATGTTATCCTCACTGTGACTCTGACTGCTCAGTGGGTTTCATGAGTGACATTGAGTCATTGTGCTGTGGAAGACAATAAAGTCTTGTTTTCTTTCTTCCTCCCCTCCATCCCCAAAACAACATAATTATTCTCATTTCAAGAGCATTTAGAAAAATAAGCTTCTTTCCATCACAACAGGATATAAACATGAACAAAGGGACATGATTCCACATGCAGAGCTCGTACTTTAGGCACTGCATTCACTCAACATAATAGCAGGTGGAGCATTCACAAGTAAGGTGAATTTGTGAATTTAAATACCTCACCCTCAAATTAAACTAAATTTAAAAAAAATCAGGATTTCCAGGAACAGATGGTTGAAAAAAGTATTGCCACAAAGGCATTCACGTCCTCATGGCAACACAGCAAACAAAATGGCAGAGATTGCTAAGAGTGTGTGCCAAACCCCGGGAGCTATAATATTTTTTATTTATTTCTTTATTTATTTCATTCCAGAGGACCTTTCCAGTTGATTTTGAGCCAGGAGAGAAATTTGTCCAAGAAGAATAAAACCAACTCTCCAAAAAAAAAAATGTTTATGGAAGAAAATAGATTTTTTGGAACCTCCTCACAGCAACAAATTTGGCCTCAGCTATCATCTATTAGTCACTGTTTACTGTTCTGCTCATGAGATATAAGGGTGGGTTTTACAAAGGACATTGCTGGAATCTTCCTTCTGTACCTGGCATCAGGATGCTGGATGAGACGATTGTTTGATCTGTCTACACATTTCTATTAGTGGCTTTATATGTATTCTATTCTGTTTTACATGCAGATTCTCATCAATATCTGCACGCAACACTTTTTTCCTTGGACTTGTCTCATTTGTGTCCTTTTTGGTTTGTAGATTCCTTCCCTTGCATAGGCTTAGGAGTTAACAGGAGATTTGGATCAAAATGCTTGAAAGCCTCCCCTTTAAGCATTGGACGAGAAACTGATTTGTATGCCTTCTGCTTTTTTTCTCACTTTCTTTATGAGTTGGCACACTGGTGCAAACCTTGATGGTCATATCAGTCACAAAGAGCTGGCATGTATACACAGTGCATAATACCTCTGTCATCTTGTTCCCATACTGTGCATTTCTGTGTGATAGAAGGAACCATTGCCGAAAATCTTTTTAGGAATATAAAAAAATAAAACATTTTATCCATTCTCCAGAACTCTGATGCTCCAAAGAAACAGAAATAATAAAATCACATTCTACCAGTCTTTCTGTGTACACCAAATTAAACAACTGAGTGCACCTGAGTGTAATGTATTTAACGAGTTGCTCTGTTATTGCCCTAGAGGTTTGTCAGAGAACATTATAGTGCAAAAAGCAGCATGGAGACAAAGGAACAGTACAACAAAGCCTTGTGGAGTAGTCCATCATCCAACAAGGAAAAGAGCGTGGCACTTCTCTCTGCAAAGGCACTCTTTAGAAAGGGCCGGTCATCCTCCAAAACAGGCCATTAAAGAGGAGCTATGAAGCCTGTTAACTCCGGAAAATGTGCAGAAACTGTTAATTATTGTAAGAGAATCTGCAAACAGGATAAATCTTAGTTTTGCATCCTGAAATCTTTAAAGTGGTAAGAAGAAAGATGTTGATGAAAAAAGTAGAAGTCTTGTTTGTATTAAATCACAAACCACTTAAAGAAGACAACAAACAAGTGGAAGAAGGTCTCTGGTAAGCAGAGACCAAAAGTTAACTTTATGACCTTTATTCATAACCCTGTGTGTGTCTGAAAGCTAACAATTAATCCCACCACGGGCAAACCATCCCCTGCAGGAAACATGTTGGAGACAGCATCCTATACTGTGGGAGTTCTGTTCTTCAGTAGGGAAATGATAACAAATAGTTTAAGAAAAGATGAACAAAGTGAACTGGAGTACTGAAAGATAGCCAGTTAGTGCAGTTTACTTTCCAATGGGAAGTTTACCTTAAACATACAGCTAGAGCTACAGCGGAATGGCTTAGGTTGAGGTATAGTGATGTGATTGAATGGCCTAGTCAAAGTACGGGGCTGATTCCAATCTGTGGCAGTTTGCTGAAGCTGGAACTGCTGTATCTTAAAAATGATGAATAAAAACCTCAGTGAGTCAGAACCTGATTGAGCCATACCCTCAAATATGTGAAAAAATATACTGCAGGTAAGGTGGTTGAAAAATATTCACGAAAAAACACTAAAGTATGTTTTCAAAATGTCAGCAATTAAAGAAGTGTGGTTGTATCAGTACTTAAAAAGCTTTTTGTTATAGGTGAAATTTTTAATACAGAATTCATTAGAAGCTGAATTTGTGGCTGTTGCAGTAGCAACCGAAGTGTCCAGGAAAGACATGAAAGATATTTATTATATTGTCCTCCATACAGAGGTCAGCACAGTAGGAAATTTACTAGAGCTAGACTGACAAGAACATATTTGTTCCACCTCAGTACATCTCATGTCAAAGCCTAACCAATAAATGTCAAAACAAGAGGAAAACCGATTGAATTGTGCAGCTTCAGACATTCCACACGTGGTTTCAAGAAGCTGAATTGGCATTTGTGTAGCATTAGAGTTTGTCTCAGCAAAAAACAACAAAGACTTCTCACTGGGTTCAATGCTATCCTTCAAAAGACAATGGTTTGTAGAGACAGCTTCATTGTTCAGTGCATATTTCATACTCCACTTAGACAAAAAAGAAATTCAGATGAAATATAAAAGCAAAAAAAAAGAGACCACTAGATGAGTTCCACAACCACTTTGTCCTTCGAAAGCAAATATCTAAGTCTGTGGATCCAATTAGAATTGTATGGATTACTGTACATAAGACCAGCAACAACAAAAAAAAATTTTATTCTCATTATGAATGTTCAACCAACCTTAGCAATACTACATTTATATAATTTTCTGCTTGCATCTTTCATCAGGATGAAGACCTCTGCCACAAAGCTCATTTATTCTAAGGCGGATGTCCTAAACTTTTGCACCAGTATCATGTCATTGCAAATCTTCCAGGATATATTTGTGGTCCTGATGTGTCTGCATGTGAAAATGTTAAGGATGGAGTCTAAACATGGGATCCAAAAAGTCTAATAAAACTCTGTCTGTTGACAAAACGTAAAAGGCTGTAGGTTTGATTTTCCACTCTTTTTTTTTCCAAAGAAAAAAAATCAGCAGCATGTTATCCCAAACCTTTGTATCCAGTTATGCTGTCTTTATCCAGTTCTGTTTCCAGTACAGGAGATGAAGTGATGACCTCATTACCTCCTTGATGTTTTTCTGGATCTGTTTATATTGTTACAGCATAAAGAGAGAAAAAGAAAATAGAGTTAAGAACATCAATATGGCAGCAGATTCACTGCATGCATTGCAACATTACCAACACCTCTTATCAAAAATAGCTTCAAACACATTAACTTACTTTCTTGAAAAATTTATTTTATATATTTTTTTTTTAACTTAAATATAAAAATAAAATTTTATAAAGGCAAAAAAAAAAAAAATCATTTTGCAGTGTTTTCTTTTTATTAGAATGCACACTTCAACTGATTCTGTGTAAAAGCACCTTTTTTTTGTTTTAATGTTAGCATTCAGTTTTCCTCTGTATCTGGTCTATCCATTATGGTCAGTTTAACATGAAATAAAGTTCATTTTTCTCCTAGCAGAATGTGGCACCCACACTAAATACATACATAAAACATAATGCAATCTCAAAGAATATTGATATTATAAAATGAGAATGTTTCTCTGAATTTTAAAACAGACAAAACAGAAACTTCCAAAAAGCACTGGAGGGTCTGTGGGACTGTCTGCACAGTGCTAGCAATTCAATTTTAATTCAATTCAATTCAGTTTATTTATATAGCGCCAATTCACACAACACATGTCATCTCAAAGCACTTTACAGTTCAACCAGATCATACAGTCAAATTGATTCAAAGTTTTCTATCTAAGGAAAACCAGTTGATTGCATCGACTCATTGACTCGAATGCAATCCCTCACACTAAGCATGCTTGTAGCAACAGTGGAGAGGAAAAACTCCCTTTTAAGGGAGCAGTGGTTTACATGTGACAACAACCTCCTATGACAGGGGTCTGCAACCTGCGGCTCCAGAGCCACGTATGGCTCTTTGGACCCTCTCCAGCGGCTCTTAATAGTAGCTCAAATATATATAAAGAGCTAAATAATAGCTTTAGCGTTTTTTATAAGATGGAAAAGAATGAGATTAAAAGAACCAGAAATATGTTTTAAGAGACATTTTTCTATGAATTAGCTTGAAAATTATATGTTTTAACATTAAAAATACATGAATTGTTGATTGTTTGAGATGGCAACAACTAATTTCCCATACAAGATTAAAAAAAAAAGGTTTTCTAGAAAAAGTCATGGTATATTTTGCGGCTCTAAACAACTTTTACTTGGTCGGACTCTAGGCAAAAAGGCTCTTTGGATAGGAAAGGTTGCAGACCCCTGTCCTATGAGCTCAATATTACCAAACTAAGCATTGACAATACAGAACGAGAGGCCTGTACAGAAAATATTCATACCTTGTTTTAATTTTTCAAAAACATTTGTGGATATATGTGTTACATAATGAAAATAACATAAAAAACAAAGTTGATCCTTGGGTTAAAATACTAAAAGAGAAATATAAACATATGTCTCATGTGTTTGCCAGAACATAAAGAAAACCAAATATATTCCAGCATTAGAATTAGTAAGCATGCATCCATATTAAAAAAATAATAACAATTAGATTTTTGGATTGCCCTGTCCAGAGTGCAGAACTCAATATAAAAGGTCTGGAGCACCAGCTGAAAAGGTCTGTAAATATTTTACTTCCTCACAATCTGATAGATTTAAGCAACTTTGTGTGGAACATTTTGCCAAGAGAACATGTATGTTGGTGGCAGACTTATATTAGATCCCGAAATTAAGCCTGACCATTTTTGGCTAAATTGTGCAGGATATATCTCACACTCTATGTAAAAACTAAACAATTAACCTTACTCTAGAAATGCTATAACTATATATAAGTTATACTTCTATAATTCATAAACCAGCTGAACAAACTATGTGAAACATATTCTTCGTACTGCCCAAATACATGTTAAGGTGAGGTTAGATCAAAGTCTCTTTTTCTTGTTAGAAGGAGAAAGTGAGAATAAATCAATGTTGTCTATTCAGAAGTAGAAAAAATAGATCAAAGAAACTGTTTTAGAGGTCTAGTTTTATACAGTACCACTAGAGGGCGCCATTGGCTCACACCATTTGACTTAATCGTTAGAAATAGCATTACCCATTTATCTATAGTTGTGTACTGCTTATACTGTACACTTTTCCTGATTTCTGATCAGAAACTTAAGGCCTAACCCCACATTTTAGGGCATTAACATTGCTTTTCTGAATCTTGTGATTTAGTAATTTAAAGACATATTAAACAACCATAAAACTGTAGAAGCAAGATAGATAATATTTAGATAAGACCAGTATAATACAACTATATTATCATTTACCAACTTCTACAGTGAGCAGTAATCATTTCCAAAACCTGTTGAAATATATGCACAGTGCATTTATTTTTGAAAGATAATTCAAAACAAGAACAATAAAAGAAAGCTTCTTGCACATTGTGCAGAATCTTGATGAATATGAATTTAATGTCCTTCCTTAACGTAAAGGAACATAGATGTAGGAAAAAACACTTTTTTTTTCAAATTTTGTGACTTTTTTGAAGCCACAGGAGGACAGTTTAGCTAAAACTAAAAGCTGATGAAGTTTTGTGGTCCAGATAAGCATGGGAAATCCAATAATATTAGTATTCTTTTCACTCTGCTTTCTCTCATTCATTTACTCACCCAGGAGATTATCACCTAATGAGATGTCCTTCCCTCGGCTCTGCTCCAGCTGGATGACAAAGAGCAGGCTGATGAGAAAGAATAGCTGAGCAGCCACCATAGTCTCAAAAGAGCCAGTTTGCCTTCAGGAAAGCCCTCATAAATCTGCAGGAAAGAGACAGGGGTAATTTGTGTTTCAGTTTTGCTCGATACTTCATGTGTCATTCCGCAGTAGTCCATTAAAGCATAACTATTATCACTACTAATCATTTCAAGGATTGTTATCATAGTTTAACAGTTTCACGGGGATTTTTCCTCAGCTTATCTCCAAATGGTGAGTTCTAGGGAATTATAGATGAGACTGAAAAAGGAATAGAGTACAGAGAGCGTTCCTGTACCAGACTGGCAAATATGTAGACTTGTTTTTTGTGTGAAATTCCACTGTAGATGAGAGAAATCAGACAGATGGACCTTTCTCTGAAACAAACTCAACAGCCATTCACTGGTTTCAATGTGATCCATCAGTTACAATGAGCTGCTCTCCTTTTCAAGCAGCTCAGCTTCTACATTTTAAATCTAAATGCACTATCAGTACTGATCTTCAAGCATCCCAACAAAATCCCATGTGGCCACCAACAACCTAGCTCGATCCGTGCAGCATGCAAACATGCTCACAATTACCTGCTGCAACCTCTATTCAATCCCCACACCCCTCTAAACAAAGCAGAGACACACAATTTACACACAAACACATGAAACACCCCGTCACTCTCAAGTGGTTATAGTGATGAGACACGTTAACTGTGCCAGGCAGGGAAAAATAGGGAAGTCAGTTTCTAGTGATCAGCCATCTGTGGCACAAACAGCTCTGCAGCTTGCCCAAGCTGTCTGAAGGATATCCAGAATCACGAGACATCTTGGCTCCCCGCGGCTGCCGGCTCTGTGCAACACTTTAATTGTTCAAGGAATACATGGCAGCAGCCAGCTTGATTAGAGCATGGGTCTAAAGCAAATGTACTCCTTACACACAAGTTTCTTTGTATGAGTTGGGAGAGGTATAACTGTGTAGAGCAGTCAGAATTTTTCCCTTTTTACCAATCAGAAGCAGTGGCTCTTCATTCATTATGAGGATGATGACAAGACTGTGAAAATAGCAAATATGTAAAAAGTGATCGTAATACAATATCTATAAGACAACATACTTTTATATCTGGAAGTGAAATGTGCACAAAGAGAGGAAACAATTTGAGCGACATTTTAACAATTTGAAAACTTTGCTACCTGGTCAAAAATACAAAAAAAAAAAAAAACAGCTCCTACAACGTGCAGAACATATTAAACGTAGCAATAGTTTAAAAAAACAACAACAAAGCATTGAAATGTTTGTGGAGAAATACAGAGAAGGCTTAGTTTCTGGTTGGAGTAGATATAGTAAGTGCAAAGTCTTTCATAGCCTCTAACTGTTTTTTTTTCCTTTTTCCAAGATTGCCCTATAATTATTTCCATCTATTTCTAATCAACTCTGAACAGTTGCCCCCTTTTTTTTTTAAAGAAAGCATTCCCAGTTTGTCTGTACCAGTCAAGATTTGTGCAAAATAAATACATTTGCTGCACTAGTTTTCCCTTTAAGATACTTAGCAATTATATACTAAAATTTATAATAAAATGACTGAGCAATTGTATGCAGACTGCAACTTACTGTCAACAAGTTTTTACAGCTGAATTCTGTTTTTATATAGAAAATAAAACTTACTTAAGTGTACAATTAAGTCTAGAGTGGGCAATTGTTATGAAGTCCTGGATGTGGAGAAAAATACGCTCATCTCAAAAGTCTGTGCCTGTATTAAATACTTTTATTGAAGAGTAAGAAATAAGTAGTTTTAGGTTATCTGTAGTGTTAAAGGAATTGGGTGAAAAAAGATTCTTCTTTATCATTTAAATTGTCTGTGTGGCAACATTTTCAATACTTAGATTAACAAATAAACAAATCGTAAGCCCTGTGTGAATGTCGTGTTTGATCAGCCGTTGCCCACTCACAGTTGTTTGTCTCAGCTTCATACAAAATGATAAAGTCTGTTTCACCATTCCCAATGAGTTCAAATTACAATTACTCTTCCAAATTTATAAATCTACAATTATTAACACTGAGCAGATTGCTTGAATAAAATTTAAGACGGCAAAGATTTTGATATTCTTACTGCAAGCACAAGGTTATTTTTTTATGCTTTTTGTCTTAAAGACCAGCCTATTTTGAGGCAAGCATACACCAATTAAAAAAGTTAAAGTTAAATCTTGAGTGGAATATTCCTCATTTTCCATGCAGTGTTTAAACAGCTTGTGAGTTGTTAATGTTTTTTTTAGAAATACAAAAAAGGCATTTCCTGTCCATTTCCACAAATCTAAAGTCACATTTCATCTCATAAGCTATATATGTTTTTATGCCTTTATAACATTCTTTTTTTTACCAATACAACTGATCCCCAGTACCTCATCTTGTTTAGGACCCAGTCCAAATCTCCCATACATAAGCATTGTGATTTTTGCAACCCCACACAAGTATTTTAATTTCAGAACCTATTTACCCAGTAATATTCCAGGATATACATTTCTCTATTCTATATTTTCCACTTTTTCCATGTGATCCTGTGTTGATGAATCCTATATGTCCACATGGACTTGGTATTTTTGTATGAAATATTCTAATCTACCCTGAAGTGAGAATATTGTTCTGCAAATCTAGTAAATATGCTGATTTTTCAAAAGATATGAGCTGGAAATCATTCAGTTCTAATATGATATGCAGCTTGAATCTCTTTCATTCCACTGAGATGTGCTTTCATAAAAACACTATACACATTAATGTAGGAGGATTGCATTTGCAGAGTAATGAATATTAAATGTAGGTGGTTTTGATACCACAACATTGTTTACATCCACCCAGCATGAGTCTGAGAGAAGAAAGACAATAGAATGTCAAAAAACTATTACAGCGGATATCTGTGGAGATTTTCAGTCATCTAGGTCATGGTCAAGCTTGAAAAGTTCAGTTTAAGCAACTGGTTATGTTTTCTTGAAGATATTTTGCCTCTCATCCAAGATGTTTCTTCAGTTCTAACTAGTGTTGGGGAGCACTGACATTAATATACTGAAGTTCTAACAAAGAATTATGGGGAACAAAAGGTGGCTCTGATCCCTCCTATTGGATTGGCCATAGAGGTCACCTAGGGGTGTTAATGGTCATTAAGGAGTTTAACTCCCTCCTCAGAGTGGTTTTGGTCACATGTTTCATTGAAGTGTGAGTCAGGTGAGGGTATTGGCAGGTGAATCTTCCCTTTATTGTCCCTAGAAGTGCTTTGTAAGTAGGTGAAAGGTTATGTCTAAGACCACCTCCTCTGTTGAGAGATGGTTTTTCCAAATTAGTTAAGATGGCTTCCTTAACACCTCGTTCAACCATCTTTCTTCCTTGGCAGAAATATGGATGTTGCTGTCCTCAAATGAGTGTCTTTTAGCCTTCAGGTGTAGGTGAGCAGCTGAGTCCTGTCCTGAGAAGTTGGCCCCCCTGTGTTGAGCCATGTGCCTATGTAGCGGTTTGCATTGTCTCTCCAATGTACCTGTCTGTGTACCCTTCTCTACACTGAATGGCGTAAACCACGTTGTGCACCTTGTTTCTGGGTGTCTTATCTTTGAGGTGAACCAGTTTTTCGTCTCGGGGTGTTGCCCGCTTTGAAGAGGAGGTCTTAGACATAACCCGTCACCTATTTACAAAGCTCTTTAAGGAAAAATACCCAAAATATTCACCTCTCACCTGCCCTGTTGACTCCAATCTGTCAAGGGAGTTAACCACTCATCAGTACTCCCTAATGACCATTAACAACCCTGAGATGACCTCCATGTCCAATCCGTTAGGTGGGATCAGAGCCACCTTTTGTTCCCCATAATTCTTTGTTAGACCTACAGTGTATTAATCTCAATTCTCTCCAACACTAGTTAGAACTGAGTAAGCTTCTTTGATGTGAGACAAAACATCTTCTATAAAACTTCACATTGCCTAAACTGAACTTTCCAAGCTATTACATTGAAGAAAATAATCAAAATGAAATTATATTTAAACATAGCATGAATGGAAGAAAATAAACTGCTCTCTGGGTTATTCATAAGATGCTAATAATGGCAGCATAAAAAATATTTATGGAAATTATTGCACTCCAGGAAATCTACTGTTAACTCTTGAATGAAAAGACCAGAAATGCTGCAGTTGCAGTGCAAAGACACTGTAGGCCTTGTGTATTTTAATATAATTTGCAAAGCTTTATTAGTGCAAAAGGGAATGGGGAATCTAATTTGCATAATAAAGATAATTTGCACCTTATTTATGACAAAAATAACACATGCATTAACTATTGAAAATTATGAAATATGACCATAGTGAAAAACGTGGGAGTGAAATATTCTTTAAACCCATCTGTCCAAGATCTGAACAAACAGGAAGAGCCTGTGGTTAAAAAGAAAAAGGGTAGGCTGGTGTGCTCCCACCTCTTCTGTCTGCAAGGGAATAATCACTGCTTATCTTCTAACACACTGTCAATAAGATACCGCAGACAGCAGACCGATCATATACTGTAGAGAGCACTGGACCGTGAACAGGATCAGCTTTCCCCAACCTCCCCCCCGCTCGACAGAGAACCATTTTTCCACCCTTCTTGATTTAATCCTACATACTTATGGAGACAGATGTTTGCAATATGTTCAAAGTGGAAGGGAAATACAACACAGTAAACCTGTTAAGCTATGTAACGCTGTCACTAGAGCTGCTGTTGCACTCTTGCCACACATGTTGGTTTATCTAAAAATGAGTTTTAAGTGGATCTGACCACCTTAAAGTTCAATACTCGGGTGGCAATAAAACTTTTAGCTGAATTAGTTTGAAAATTAATTCAGCAATCTCCTGTGGATTCCACTTAAAAAATATCAACACATATAGAGGGTTGATCATGATATTCAGTTAGTTAAACAATATTAACATTTGCTCACTTCATGTGTTTTGTAGCAGTTGTACATATGTAAATCATTTGTAAAGATCTCACACTTTGTATAAATTACAGTCACCCATCCACAAAAAAAGCAATATATAGGTATCATGTAGATACAGCCATTTACTTTAGTAC